GTCTTGAGCTGCTCTCTCAACCCGTCTGTGATGGGCTATCGTTCCGCCAACAGCATCACCCCGAGGCCACCTGCAAAAGAGGCGTCAAGAGGCGTTCAAGATCGGGGTCGCCCCGCGGGTCCTGGGACCGTCGGCGGCCCGCCGTCCGCTTTGTCGCTCGCCCGCGACGCGGTTTCCTCGCCCCCCTTTCCCCTCTCCTGCCCGCCCAGGGCCCCGAACGGGGGTCAGGCCGTTTTCAGCCTGCTCAAGGATCGGTCTCCACTCACCTGGAGCCGCTGGTTACAACCTTTACTTCACATGTTTTATCTTCGCTCCGCCTTGGCAGTCGGCCGCCCCATTTTGGTTCGGTGTACAGCCTCTCTCCCTTCCCTCCCTCCCTCGGCAGCTGTTTGGCTCTTGAGGTTTCGCTTCGCACGATCTCTTGAGCTGCACCTCCCGTGCAATCCCCCCGACCAAGTGATGCGCGCCCAAGTTCTCGAAGCCCGCGCCGACGCCGCGGCCTGCAGTGACGCACGCCGACTCGCCCAGTCACGATGCGGCGCCTCTCCGCGAGGCGCTGGCGGCGAAGGCTAAGGCGAAGGCCGAGGCACGCGCGAAGGCCAGCGGTTCGATCGCGGCCGACGCGCCCACTCCCAAAGCGGGGCCTGCGCCGCGCTCTGGCCAGCAGGCGAGCGTGTCGGAGAGCAGCGACGTCTCGGACGAGGGGTTCGACGTGGCGTCGGAGGCGGCGACCTTTCGGACGGCGCCGACACTGCCTACGGAATCGGCGACGCCTGCCGAGGGTGCCGACGGAGGCAGCGGTACGGGGGCCGCCCCCAGCGCCGCTGCCTCTGAAGGCGCCTCGGACGGAGGCCCCACGGCGACTGCCGAGGCGCCTGCTGAGCCCTCGGCGATGCCCACGTCGGCGGTGGTGCCAGTGACGAAGGCGGCCCTGGCAGCGGCAGCCACCTACTCCAACTTCACCGCGGAGCAGCGCCGCGGGTTGGACGCGATCACCCTCGCGCCCCACAACCTCCAGCTGCGAGAACAGGCTGTGAGCGGCCACGGTGGGCGAGGCGCGCGCAGCGACGCCGACGGCGGCCGCTCCATGGACGATGAGACAGCCAGCGAGGCCCCGAGTGCAGCGACCACGGGCGCCCTCAGCGGGCACGGCGGCAAACGCCACCGCCGTCGCAGCAACAAGGCTGCCTACGGCAAAGCCCCCCCACCGAGCGGCGGCACGGCCGCCGAGCTCGAGGACGCTGAGATGATGGCGGACGTGGACTACGTCGAGGCGGGCTACGTCCACTGCATGGGTGCGTACTGGGTCCCGCCGCAGCGCCTGGGCTGATGTCGGGCGTGCGCAGCGCTGGATGACTGGAAGATCATGATGGTGGAGTACGTGGACGAGCTCCACTGTGGTGAAATGCGCCGCTACACCGAGGCTTCAGAGCACAACCCACAGCACCCCAAGCTGCGAAAGGGAGCTCAAGGCCAATACCAGCTACACACGCGCTCGCACTGCGCGGCGGCGGCGCAGAACATCACCGAGCACGAGGCCGTGACGCGCGCAGCGCGCCAGAACAAGGATGCTGGCTCCATCGACAACGCCGCCAAGCGCGTGGCGAAGTTCCGCGCGAGCTTCGACCACATCACGGAGGGCATGGACGTGCTTGTGGGGTTCGCGCTCTCCGACGACGGCTTGCTAGCCCTGCGGAGGGCGACGGAAGGCGTCGGGGTGGGCATCGATCCCGAGAGCGCGGGCGCCCCCCCAGCCACGGAAACGGTGGCGGAGGAGGTCGGTCGCCCGACGGCGGCGGAGGTGGTGCCAGGGCCGCCCCGCGCGCCACCTCCACCCCTCGAGGATGGACCTGGCGCCGCAGACCCTCCCCGCGGCGATGATAGCGACCCCCCGCTCGACAACAACGTCGAGGGCCAGGACCACCAGCTGGCCAACGCCAAGACTGTGGAGGAGGTCGCGGATATCGAGCCCCTGCTGCGGCTCGGCCTCTCCAAGAAATCGCCGAAGCGCATGGCGCGGGACGATGGTGCCCTCAAATTCGAGACCATGCGCACCCATATGCTGGGAGGCCTGGGGCCCATCCTGGAGAAGAAAGAGGACATGGTGAAGGGCGCAGAGGCGCAGGACGGGGTCCAGAAGTGGCTCCACGCGCTGAATGCGGAGGCAGAGGATGATGTGGGCAGGCTGAAGAAGGGCCTCCTGGAAGCCCCGGGGGTCGTGGACGCGCACCTGGGACACAAGCGTACGTGGAGGGAGGAGTGCCAGGGCAACGCCATGGCGCAGGAGGCCTACCGGCGGATGGGCGATTACACGGACCAGCTCTACCGTGGCAAGGGCTTTACGTTCAACATGTACTACAAGTGCTCGGCCAACAAGACCTGGGACAATCCCAAGGGATGCTGCTCGGTGATCCGCTCGGATCGCTGGACGCAACTGCTCACCTGCGCGCAGGAGGCGGCGGGGGAGACGGGCCAGCGCTGGCACTGCCATTGTGGCGCGCGCTACGCGACCTCCCACGGCGTCTGCATCGAGATGATAGAGGAAGAGCAGAGCCCGCCTCGCGCGCACTACATGCACGCGGACTTCCCCGAGGAGGACATCCACGACTTGAAGGCCCTGCTGCGCTACGACAAGCTCGAGAAGGAGGGGGTAGCGGTGCTCAGCGCTGTGGACCTCCTGAAGCACCTGCCCAAGGTCGAGCCGCTGGCGGTGGGCACCGTCTTTAAGCGCTACGCTCCGCCCACTACGCGCTAATGGAGGGGCTCTCCTGGGACAGCCTGCCCGAGTTCAAGTGGTCCGACCTGTACTCGCAGGTTGCCTGGGGGCTGAACGACCCAGGGTGGGCGGGCTACACCAAGAAGCAGAGGAATAAGGCCAGGAGGCAGCGCCTGGCGACCGCGCACGAGGAACTGGCGGCCTATGAGCGCCGCCACAACCTCCGGGAGGGCAGCCTCACGGGCGGCGGGGGTGGTACCGGGGTCGCCCCGCGTGCCACTCCCGTCCGCACCGCCAGTGCCCCCCCAGCTGGCTCGGTCCGCGGCAGCCAGGACCCGCCACCACCGCCTGCTGGAGCCCCGCCAGCGGCCAACATGGCCCCGCCGCCGCCGCCGCTGACGGCGCCCCCTGCGGCGCCGCCGCCGCCGACGGACCCGCTCCCGCAGCAGATCCCTAATGTCGCTGCCCTGAACGTAGCCCTCGGTGAGGATCTCGAGCGCCAGATCTTTGGGCCCTCAGGGCAGGCGGGCGGCAGTGGCGACCTCGGGGGAGAAGTGCAAGCGCTGCCGTCGCAGGTCTTCGCAGCCATTGCGCAGGGAACAGGCCAGTCCGCCTGAACGCTGAGACTCTGCAGGCCCCCAGCACCGTATACTTCTAAGCCCTCGGGGAGGCTACGTGAGTCCATGTTAAGATCCCGAGCCTGCCACTCTCAAGGACGCTGAGCCTGTGTGCTCGCTTACGCTCCAGCTTTAGCAACGCCGCCTTGCCAGCTTGCGCGGGTGCGCCCACAGCGGTGCCCCCCCTCGCGCCGCGGGCCCTGGTGCTTAGGCCTCCGCTCTTCGCACGGTCAACTGTGCGCCTAGCCATTCTGGCTTGCCACTTTGGCTTGCCATCCTGGCCTCCTCTCGCGCCTACTTGCGCTCGTTGGCCTCGTCGGCGGTACTGGGGTCGCCCCGTGCGCTGCCGTGACGCCGCTGTGCGCCTAGCCACTTTGGCTTGCCATCCTGGCCTCTTCTCGCGCCTACTTGCGCTAGTTGGCCTCGATGGCGGTACTGGGGTCGCCCCGTGTGCTGCTGTGCCGCCGCTGTCGCTTTACTTTGGGCCGTAGGGACCAGCTGCCCTCGGATAAGCGCCCGCCGCTGCATGCACGTCAGACCCGCCATTTCACCCAGAAGAGGTGCTCGCTACATACTGGTAATGAGGCAGCCACAAGGACACTCATCCCAAGGCGGTTGAGCCGTGGTGATGTGGTGCACGGGACCGAGTAGTAGTAGTAGTAGTAGTAGTAGTAGTAGTAGTAGTAGTAGTAGTAGTAGTAGTAGTAGTAGTAGTAGTAGTAGTAGTAGTAGTAGTAGTAGTAGTAGTAGTAGTAGTAGTAGTAGTAGTAGTAGTAGTAGTAGTAGTAGTAGTAGTAGTAGTAGTAGTAGTAGTAGTAGTAGTAGTAGTAGTAGTAGTAGTAGTAGTAGTAGTAGTAGTAGTAGTAGTAGTAGTAGTAGTAGTAGTCGTAGTCGTAGTAGTAGTAGTAGTAGTAGTAGTAGTAGTAGTAGTAGTAGTAGTAGTAGTAGTAGTAGTAGTAGTAGTAGTTAGTAGTAGTAGTAGTAGTAGTAGTAG